AGAAGATCGCGGGGATGAAGAAAAACCTGGTCGCGCTTCACGGGATTCGCAGACGAGGGGACGAGCGCGCGGGGAAGAAGATCTCGGGGAAGAAGATCGCGGGGAAGAAGATCGCTGGGACGAGCGCGCGGGAGGGAGATCCGCGGGATTCGGAGGAAGAAATTGCGCGCGGGAGATTGGGAGGAAGAAGATCGCGGGCGGGCGGGACGAGAGCTCGAGGGGCAAAACAAGCTTTTTCACGCTCCGAAGCTGTGCTGCGGGGAGGATATCGCTTTCCGCTTTTCTTCCGTGTTAACTTTATTTTGCCGCGAAGTTTCGAGCCAAACAGTAAATATTCGCGATTGGGGGCCGCGAAGCCGCAAAAAAGCGGCCCCAAACGAACCCTTCATTGAATGTCAGTGGCCATTCTGTTGAACTTTTCTTTATCTTTCTACTGTGTTCATGTTCATAGATACAAATTCTTGATGTTCATGACCATTTTCTAGTCTTTTATATATTACTTCCAACAAGTTAAGGGCTTATTTTGAATCAAATTTTTTTTTGTTTTTGTTCTTATTTTTTCTTTTGTTTCTAAGGGCATATTAGTATGTTTTTGCATGTTTTAATTTATTGTTTCAAAAAATGAATTAACATTTTTCTGAAAACACTCAAAATAACTTTTAGGTGTTTTGAGTGTTTTAAAAAATAATTATATCCTAAGTAAATATGTCAAATATTTTTTGTTTCAAATCAAAACATAAATAAAATAAAATAAAAATAAAAATTGGAAAACATAAAACAAAAGTGATTCCAAGTGGCATCTAAGTTAATGTCACACTCATATTAAACATCTTCGTTTTTATGTGCATTTATCATTAAGAACATCTTTATTCCATATTTTTTTTTTCTTCATGCTATTTATTCGATTCTGTCTTCACTGGTAGAGGCTGTCACATGCCAGGAACCTTGAATTCAATTTTCAGTTACTGCTACCTTCACCGAGAGAAGAGTTGCTGTTAATGCTGAATGATATTGTTGGAGCAGCACGGATACTTTATCTGAATGATGTAGGTCATGCCACTTTCCTATATTCACGCACATTTTCTTTTTTCATGGAAATTATGCATACGATCTGTTGAGCATGCATTGTTGACTGTTCTTACTACAGTTTTTATGGTCTCATGCAGGTAGAAATTTATTTCATCGAGGATGATGATTTTGGACCATTCAGTCAAATAAATGAGCTCAAGTCCTTAAATGCAGTACTTCAAATGCTGAAATCTGTGATTTCTGTTGCTAATCCCAATGAAATGAAAGCTTTGAATGTGTTGCAGAATGAAACCATTGCTAGGATAAACTCATTTGCAGATCAGAATATTGACGAAATGGTCATGAGGAAACATGATACAACTGCTGAAGATTTACTTTTGAAGTGGGGTGAAAGTTGTGGTGCAAGATCAAAAGTCACGGTTGCTTGTAAGTCCACTCTTTGGCACCACATTTATCCTAGCATCATTGCATGCATTATCATGTCATAATTGTGCGAAATACTATAAAAAATGAATGTCGGATTTTTTAATTACGTTTATGGCTTGCTAGAATATAGACAAGCATGCACACATACTTGATTTTGATTTTAACAACCATAACTTATCTCACTTTAAGCAGTGTGAATTCTCGATTACATCTTATAATCGAACTTAGATATCTTCTTCGTTCAAAAGAATAATCTTAAAAACCTTCTATTTTGAACTCCTAAAATATCTAGTCTTTTCTTGTCATGGTCTAACCCAGGGTTTTGAATTTCCACTTTCTAAAATAAAAGAGCCATAAGATATATAATCTAAAACAAATATAAAATAAATAACTCGCTCTGATGCCATCCCCCTACGGTACACATTCTCACTTCCTTCGCTTACTACAACCTAAATTTAACCTACATTAATTAAATAACAAGATATTGAATTATCTAAGATAATTTAGTAAAACAATTGTACTTCTAATCTATAGTAGCTCAATAAAAAGAAAGTAATATGCAAGCTGGTCATATAATAATTTGAAAATATTAAATGATATTTTTTTTGGATGAAAATAATTTAAAGTTCTTACATGCATAAAATTTTGATTCATTAACTTCTGCTTTTTTTTTAAGTTAAAATTTTAATGAATTTCATATATCTTAATTTATATATCTTCTAAGTGGTATTGCTAAACATAATCTAACACACTTTTGGTTGATATGTCTCTCGTCGGCACAATGCGGCGTAGAATATGCTTATTATTGTTTGAGGTGGAAAAACATACACTCACCACTAGCTGATGCATCTCTCCTCGACAAAGTGGTGTGTGATTTTAAATTCACTATTGTCTTAGGTGGCGGACAAAATATCGACCGGCTTAGTTATATTGTTGTCCCTAGCTAGTTGCATCTCTCCTCGACAAAGTGGTGTGTGATTTTAATTTCACTATTGTCTTAGGTGGCGGACAAAATATCTAACGGCTTATTTATATTGTTGTCCCTAGCTAGGTCATAAGGGATGAATTCTCTTTATCATCAGATACATACAACATTCTTATGCCACATTATCTCCCTGTACGAAATATTATTTTTTCATGAATAACTTCACATGCCATGCTAATCAAATACATCTAAATGTCATACTACAGTATTCAAATATCTTCTTAGGTAAACTACTAATTAAACATTCATCAAGTAATATTGGCATGTGTCTTTTAGTCGAATCAATATGGCATATTAGTTGCAACATAGAAGGAATCAGTATAGAGCACGAGTGTGAAAATTTTGAATTAAAAACCTGTCAGTTAAATGAAGTAGTTTGAGAAGCAAGAAACATCTCTCTTACCTAGAAATGTATATACCCATCGATTATTTCTTTAAGATCTTAATATTTGGTGAACTGACTTGACATCTCAATATTAACACCTTTTTTCACCATCTCAACATAAAATCAATGATATACAAGTTTTAATATCAAATTTTAATATGAAATTAAATACACATGCACTAAATTTTGAATAAGTTAGTCACCCTCTTGTAATTCAATCTTCCTTTTTAAATTTTTTGATAAAATCTCTAAATAAGTTTATCAAGTGTTCTTCCACATATAAATATTTATTTTATTAAAATAAATTCCAAATCAATTTATGCTATAACTTTAATATCTCTAGAATTTCTTTTAATAACCTGCAGACATACAATTTAAATTTAAAGTTTATTATAATATTTTTATTTATTAATAATTTAGTCTAATAATGTCATAATTGATATAAATTCTTAACTTTCAAATTTTGTTAATTAAACTCAAGTTTTCTTGTAAACATAAATATAGTTTCAGTTTCACTTTTAAGTTTTAATAAAGTTTAATAAAGAATATTTGCTGTTTCAGTATTTATTAATCTTCATTACTAAAAAAAATTCATGTTAATTGCTCTTACAGTTATTCTTACATAAATTAAATTATATATTCATATATTGTGCAATACCTAATTTTGTTTGTTGATGTTTTATAAATTCTCCTAATTGAAAATGTTTTTATTTAGATTCAATCATATTATTACATAATATTTTAAATTTTATTTCATCAAGATTTTTACATATAAACAATTAAAACTTTGTATAAGACTTTACCTTTTTTTCACTGCTCGTGCAAAATTACTTTATGAATCCCTCTTTGCTTCTGTATGCTCACTAATTCTAGTGCACGAAATTTGCTCAAGCTTAAATTTTTCTGCTAGCTCATGCACACCACACTTCTCTGCTTGGGTTAAATGTTCACTGTCACACCCAGCTTGCATGACACTGCGAGCACCTTCATACGTCATTGTAATAATTGAAATATAAATAAAAAGTAATAAAAGAAAATGAATTTTAATGGATTTGTGTTGATTCTAATTAATCGCCTCAATAGTTTTTTTATTAAGAGACAAGCACATCATTCAAACCAAAGTGACGGTAAAAATGAAACAGATGATAGAATGAGAGAAACGAAATGCTAGGAAAAGAAAGAAGAAGCGGAAGTGTACGTCACTTGTGTGAGTGCTAATGTACTCTGGAAGAAAGGAGATGAAGTCGAAGTCACTTGTTTTCTGTGAAGGAGAGGAGACGCCCTATTTGCGGGGCAGCTTGGCTGTGGGTTCTCCTACGGGTGTCGGTGCAGGGAGACGACATCAAAGAAGCGAGGAGGTTGACACTGCTTCTAGGAGGGACCTTCTAGGGCTTGCAAGATTTGAAGCTAAGGAGAAGTATTTGCTTGCAAGTGACAAGCCAGTGAGTCGTCGTGCGCAGGAGGGGAGCTCAGTGCGACTTTGAGTAGGAGGGGGCGTGCCTCTTATGGGGAAAGCTTGTTAGAAAATCCTAGCCGAGTAGAGTTGGGGGGAGGAATAAGTGTATCGTGATGTTGGAAGTGAATTGCATGTGCCTCTTGTGTGAAGGTGAAGGAAAGTTCACTGTGTGCAAGAGAGAAGTGTCAAGCGGTTGCAATGCAAGAGGAACTCGTGCCCTTGCGTGCCGAAAGAAGTAGCTTGCATGCTTGAAGTAGCGTGCTTGCGGGAGGTGCGATTAAATAGTAGAAGACAAAGTAAGGGTTTATATTTTTTATTATTATTTAAGTTATTTTATTTAATTAATTAAATGTTATTTGACTTAAAATTTGTATTTTAATCCGACTATTAGTTGAATTAAGGGTTAAAGGAGATCAAATTTGATGATTACGTAAAAGAAGAGAAAGTGGAGAAATGTTCGTCTTTTATTTCTAAAATTATTTTTGTTTAAATTAATGTTATATAATATTAGTTTTTAGTAAGAATGATTAAAATCTTAATTAAATTAATATACTAAGATAATGGTTAAAAAATAATAATTAATTAAAGTATTATTAAGTAATGTAATAAAAATTTAGTAACATAAATATTTTATTTTTATAGGTGTTAATTTGAAAGATGTGATAGAAGTTAAGAACAAGGAACTAGGATCAAGGTGAATACTCTTACTTTTAAGTAATGTAATAAAGATTTAGTAACATGAATATTTTATATTTATAGGTGTTAATTTGAAAGATGTGACAAAAGTTAAGAGCAAAGAACTAGGATTAAGGTGAATACTCTTACTTTTAAGTTAGCCTTTTTTGTTACTTTTTAAATCGAATTTATTGAATTTATTGAATTTATTGATTGACATTGAAATCATATTGCATTATTGTACTGTGATTTAAATGATCTTTTGGATGTTAGTCATATCATTGTGATGAATATACTTTTTTAGAAATACTATTGTTATGCATTATGAAAATGTAAAATTAAATGAAAAGAGCATATGAATGATATGAACTATATGATATGCTTGAATGTGCATGTTTGATTATAATGGAGTTAGTCCATTTATGATGGAGTTCGTTTTTTAGGGGAATGTTAAGGTATCCGTGCACATAAATAGAAAAAGATATTGATATTAAAGTACCTTAAATTTGTAATTATTAGATGATGCTTCTGTGTTGGTTCTATAAATATAAAATAATAGACATGTTATTGATACAGTAAAACATATTGAATGCCATGAACCATCGTGAAAACATATCTAAAAAAAGTAAATTGTCTAATTTTTTATATTGATTTATAGTATTTCTGACTATCATGCATATCATTCCATTTTTAGTACATTACTGCAGTTTAGAAATATATGTACTCACTGATTTCTGTAGCTCACTGTTATTTTAAATTAACATTTCTCTAAGCCCCAAGTTGGGTCATGACAATCATATTGATTGTATTTCTCAACAAAATTATGATTGATCACTTGAATTGATTCTCTGGCGAGTTTTCATGACAATTTCATTTGAGCTCACATGGTCTGCTATTAGTATTGCTAGCCAAATTCAAGCTTGTTTTAAGCCAAACAAATAAAGCTCGAGTTAGGCGTGACTCCAACTCAACTTGAGTCCTTTACACCCCAAATTATGTGGCTATGATTTGTTACTTGATTATAATAATTCGTATTTACTCAAGAACAAGTGCCCTTTTCAGCAACATAATTTGTCTAAAATATGACATAGATATGCATAACATTAACTCAAGGAGATCTCAGGTTTAGAATAACTTGGCTATTATTCTCTAATAACCATCCCCATCACATGAGTAAACATTTTCAATTGTTTTTTTTCTCAACAAGGCATGTGCTCTTTAATGTTCACCTCTTCAATTATGATTAACAAGAACTGTACCTATCATCGAGGTGGATGTTGTCTTTTATCGTCAACTTGATTTGAAGGAGAGTGCTTTTTATATGTGCTTTGTTGTGAACCCTTGAGGTTATAATGTTCTGATTGATGAGCCCGTCAACCTATTATAGAGTCTTGAATAAATCTATCTTTTAATTTTGAGGGCATTTTCTTAAGTGAGGTTCCTCTCTAATTATACTTTCCAATAACCATGCTCATTATGAGAGAGGGATAATGGGCTACCTCAGATTGCTCATAGGTTCAAATTTTGCATCATAGGATGATCATGACTTGTCATGCAAATTATGATGATGAATGTGTGACATTCCTTAATTCATAAAATAATTAAAAAAATGGCTAACATTAATTGAAATAAATTGATGCTAGTGTTCCATGTTATTATGGTGGGAGATGAAGAGAAAAGGGTGTTTCGTGTTATTAAGTTGAGATAACAGAATATGGGAGGAGAAGATGTGGGAAAGACATACGCTTATGAGTGAGGCAGAGAGCTGGAGAGAGGAGATCGAGCCGATCTCGAGTAGGTAACATGCTAGTAGAGGATGATATTGGGTGGTTGAAACTAAGAGGAGATGAATGGCAAGCGATGGTGCATAAGTGGCTCGTGCTTGTCATGAGTGGTAGCGTGCATGGTGTGCGAGATTAAGCATGAGCAAAGTCAAGCAGGTTTGAAACTAAGGCGATAATGTGCAAACGGCTGATAAGCCAAACATGAGCAATTACCCAACGCATGTGGGGATCTGGTTGTTCTAGTCGAGTGAGGATAGACGAATGTCAAACTGAGTTAAAGACAAATGTCTATCTTTTTTAGATTGCAGAAATGAAGAGTCAGAGCTTGATTCCATGAGAAATAGCAAGGTAAAGCTGAGATTTATATTTTTTATTTTAATGAAACTTTTAATTGGAATTTTATTTGTATAAATTAATAATAATTAGAACCAAATAAGGGATTTTACATACATAGCACAAGAAACAATAACAATTAAATCTCACACTAAAACTTATCCATTTACATATGTAGCACCCACATATCTTCAAATATCTCAAATCTAGCCATCAGCCAAATCTAGCCTTCGTTTCCTGTGTCATCATCTCTATTCTTTTACAACTAGAAGTTTTGCCTTGAACTTCTTTCAACTTGCCTTGTATATAGACCACGACAAGGCTTTTTTCCCATTTGCTTGGGCAACATTATGTGTCAATGTCAATTTCTTCAAAACAACAACAACAAAAACAAAAACAAGCCTTTATCCCATGAAGTGGGGTCGGCTACATGAATCCTTTTTCTCCGTTGAGTCCTATTTTCATTTAATTCTAATAAACTAAGATCATTTTTTATACATGTCCAAGCCTTTCTCGGTCTCCTATTGTCTTTCTTAACATAAGTCAAATCTATAACATCTACTCTTCTAACAAGATTATCAGATGGTCGACGATTAATGTGACCACACCATTTAACCATCTAAGACGACTCTCTCTAATTTTGTCCGCCATTGGAGCTACACCAACCCTATCATGGATATATTCGTTTCGCATTTTTTCTATCATCTCTAAGTGTAAAGCCACTCATCCACCTAATCATTCTCATTTCGATAACACTTAACTTATTATTATGCTTCTCTTTCAAAGGCCAACATTCAGTGTCATACAACATTGCATGTCTCACCACCATCTTATAAAAGTTTCCTTTCAGTCTAAGTGATACTTTTTTGTCACACAATAGGCCTGAAGCATTCCTCTACTTCAACCAACGAACACAAATTCTACCAATGACATCATCAACTATATCACCATCACTTTGAACAATAAACCCGAAATATCTGAAGCGTTCACACCTTTTAATAATTTGATCACCCATAGTGACAACTCTGTCACTAGATCTACTACTGCTTAAATTAGATTCTATGTATTCAGTTTTAGTTCTACTCAAACGAAGTCCTTTAGACTCCAAAGTAGATCTCCATAGTTCAAGTTTTTTTTGAGCTCTTTCTCTAGTTTTATCCAGAAGAAGGATATCATCAGGAAAAAGCATACACCAAGGTACATCCTCCTTCAGAGCATGAAATCAAAGCAAAATAGAGCTTAAATGTGATGAAACCAAATAAGAAAAAAATATTATTCCAGGCTTCTATAACAAGCTCTCTAATAAAAGGATGAACTCTTAACCTTAACAGGCCAAGATACTTTAAACTTTCACCTTAGTGTACAGGGCGGCAGTGTCCTGATATAAAGCACAATTTCAGTTTTACAAATTGTTGATGCAGAGAATAGATGATAATTCCTTCCTTTACAAATAGAATAGGATAAAATGGGAGTGGTTAGAAGAAAAAATTCCTGCTACTGGTAGGATGAATAAATTTATTAACAGAACAGTTTGCATTCAAGAAGGCAAGTTTGTGAGGATGGGGATGGATTTCAAGAGAAAAAGAAATATAGGATATTTCAGGATATCTGATAGGTGTGAGATGTGGCTTTAGGTGGAGTGAAGCAAGGCTTGTTGCAGGCTGGATACAAGGCGAAGGGGAAGAAATTCAAGCACGAGACTTTTTACGGAGAAAGAATGGAGAAGATGATGAAGGAAACAATTGTCTAGATACGAGGTATTTGGAAAATTTTGGGTTGTACGTTTGTAAATATAGAAGTTTGGGTGTGAGATATGTAATTTTTATTGTTTCTTGTGCCATGTATATAAAATACCCTCCAAAAAATTTATCTACCAGTATACTTGATAGATTTGAGAAATGAATGATTAATTCAGATGAGAATTTTTAATTGAGATAAATATTATTGGAATATTAATTTGTTAAAATAGGATGATTAATATTATTGAATAAGAAATTTACTAAATATTTAAAGATTTAGAAATAGATATATTGTGAAAGTAAACTTCAACATAATAAACATGTATATACAGTGTATGTGTGTAATTTGAAAATGTTAAGGTTGTAAATGATGTTATGTTATTTTAATACGTTTAATAAAGCTATTAAGAAAGGTTTTTATGTTTTATAAATGGCAAAACATTAAAAAAATGATTTGAATTTAAATAGAAGTTAATATTCACAACTTAAATGAAGTTAAATAAGAAGAATACAGTAAGAAGTATTTTAGTTTTATCTTGGGAAGGTCAATAATCCTGTTGTGAGCGTCTGAGTGATGAACATTAATTATGATTTATATATATGTATATTAAATTGACTGTAAAAGTTAGTTAAAAAAGTATAAAATTTAGTTAAGCTTTTGTAGTTGAATGAACAAAATATGATTTAAAAATAGAGTTAAATAAATCTAAAATATATTTTATATGTATAATTAGGTGCTCAACTAAAAGTAGTGAAAATAGAAAAAAGTTATCTGTGAAGAGTTGAGATGAGTAATTGTATTTCTAAATTATAATGATATTGTTGATTTCTTCTAAACCTAATGTATTAGATAATTATTTAAATAAAATGATAGTTGAAATTTAATTATGGTTTAACTAGTCTATTAGATGTATTGGTTATATCGAAATGTGCATCACATATTTCTTAGCATATTTAACATTATTATTTTATGCATAATATATTATAGAAATGTATTTAAAGAAATGAAAATATGAATGAAATAAATTATATAAAATGCTTGCATGTACATATTGATTGATAGAATTCTCTCACGGAGGTGTTTGTTAGGAATGCTAAGATACCTCTATATATAAAATTAAAAGATTATTGATCTTAAAACACCTTAAATAGTGAAATCTTAAATAGTGCTCCTATGATGGGTATATGATATAAAGTGATATAGATATGCTATTGTTATTACAATGATTTAAATCTTTTATAGTTTATGCTTGAATGATTAAACATATTGATACTAATTTATTAATTATAACTAACTTGTGTATCGTATTTTTATCTTTTTTTATGTTACTTTATTTTTAGGAATATAAGTATTCACTGAATTGTTGACAACTATGATTTAAACTAATAATTTTAGGTATAAATTTTGGGTTACAAAATAAGTGACAACATATAAGAATAAAAGTTTATAGAGGATGCAGCCATTCTATATAAAGGTAATTATATTCATATCTTGTTTACTTTTAAGTTGAATTAAATGTTATATCGTTAGTGGATATTTGATTATTTGAATGATTAATTGTTAGTGATAGAAAATGAAATAAAATTTGAATTTCATTGTATGGCTATCCATTTTCGCATTGATAATTCCAAGCTCCTATCCAGTTCATGTCAAAACGGCTACCCTAGTTAACATTAGTGTGTTTTTAATATTTTGTATTTTAATTTAAAGGTTTTTTGTTTTAGTGTTAACAATCTTAGTATTGTTGCATTTACTAAGATTGACTCAAAAATTTTGCCCACATTGCTTAATCAATCACAACTAATATTAAGTTAGAGGTCTTTGGTGGAATAGCCTTTTTTTGATTGTGATGGAGATATTTTATTTTTTTACTCAATGTCAATTTTTGTGGTTGCGAGGTGAGGCCCCAACGGCTGCACCGAGATTTGCATTTGTATGCAAGCATGTCGAGTCAAATTTCATATTTTTTTATCAGTATGTAGAACTCCTTTTTTTAAATTTTTTTTGGCTTTTTCAGGAGGGTTATTTTACATTATTCAAGAGATAAAATATGATTTCTGTATTTCAAAATGTACTCTCTCTTTATATAAATATATATATATGTTTTTTTGGAGCCTATAAATATATATATGTTTTTTTGGAGTCATCCCTTTTTTTTGTAATTTAATTTTTTAATATTTTTAGGATTGTCTTTTCTTTTATTATTTTTTCATCACTCTTTTATCCCCATAAATATCGAAGTATTTTGTAATATCTAAAATACCTAGAAAATTTTCTCGTTAAACAATTTGTCCTTTTCACATTAATATGATTATTTGGATTATTAGGAGTATTTTTCATGTAATCATCTTTCCACTCTATTAAGAAAATTTCTATTATATGATATAGACTAGTAGTGGATGCTATGTTTGGCTTGCTTAACTTGTCTGCAAGAACCCTCTTGAGTCCTACTTGTTTAATATTGATAATATTATGTAGCATCTTACCTATCATATTTACTTTATTTTCTCTACAACATATATAGATTTTGAGGGAGCTAATAGAGGAGCAGTGGCACGAGAAGACATTGATGTTGGTGAGAGTGCACTGGAAATTCCAGAATCAATCATCATATCTGAGGATCTTGTTCGTGAATCTGATATGGTGCATTAAGTTCCACCAGTCACCTTTATTTAGTTCTTATTACTTGATTTCACATTTTGCTTCAGGCCAGTACTAGATTCTTCAATATTCGTTAATCTCATGCTTTCTTCACACAAGTTGTGAGAATAATGAGCTGGCAATAATATTATGCCCCAATATGGCATAGTATCGTTTTTTTTTTGTCACAGCAGCACATGTGAGTGAACAATATATTAAAAAACCATACAAAACTTCAAATATTTAGGGGCCATTTGATATCACTTTATTTTTTATTGGGATAATTACATATAGACTACCCTAGACATTGATATTTATAAATTAAGCACCCAGGTGGTTTTTTTTGAACTACCTAACCAATGTGTTTACAAGTGGTAGGATCAAACTATTGAGAATTTGATAAAAA